GATTTCATGAATTCCGTAATCGCGTGCCGAAACGCCGACGTATTCTGTGTGAACCTGAACAGATTATATCAGCGAAAAAATACGTCCGTAAATTGAGTAAATAGCATCTGACAAGCTCACAAAAAGTAAAATAGCTCCAAAATTTTACATTTGCTCCGGAAGTTCAGTAATACTATGTGGTTGCTTTACAACAACCCTACCTGCCTTTAATTAAATGAATCCTATTCCAGGGTTAAAGTAAACGTTACTTTATGTGACGCACCTATTCACAGCAGCCGGAAGTAGATAGACCAGGATTACGCGAAGTCGGATCTTGTCAGCGGCATGCGACCGCCGACAATAAATATGATAGCCTCATTAATTTAAATAAAGGAACGAAATTCTCTATGGAGGTAGGCACTTGGAATTCGGGAGGATCTAAGGATCCACATCTCTTTTTTCAAACGTAGACATATAATAGATAAACCCAAATAGAGTTTGGACTCGAAAAACCTCAACGACGGCATTTAAAATTCCTGCAACCCAAGACAAGATCATCTGGATTAAACGAGAGGTGGAAAAAGTGTGCACGTACACAAAATAATATTTAGGCGTAAAGATGTCTACTCACTTATCGCGATTTTTGGCAAAAAGATTTCCTTCCACATCGTCCATTAATTTGCTGAAAAGGCCCTTTACTTCTTCTCGTTGGTCGGGACTAACTGCGTTGATAACGGCATTTTGGAGGTCTGTGAAATACTAAAAAAGAGAAAACATAGTAAATGTACCTACAGGCCAGTTGTTGATGATAAGGATCGTGGACAAGCAGAACACAAACACCCGTGTGTAAAAAGTTAAATAACGCTGACAGGCTGCTGACTTCATAAAGCAAACCTGCCTAGGCGCCGGCGCGGTCGGTCGCAAGAGACAGAAATAATGACTATGAACTAAGCTCCAGTCCTTTTAGTAGCGATGCTGTTACTAAAGTGTCAATGGTTGTAGATATGACTCTACAGGAACACGGACTGGGGGCAACGTGAACAATACCGTAGGTCTGGTGTCGCGATACTTTAAACTGCCTCCTATAATATGAGAGCACCTGTATAAAACGTGGTGCGGCGGAGAGGACTAAGTCGAATCAGTCGTAGAAAAGCATTCCAATAAGACAGCAGAAACCACTGAGCTGCCAGGTTTATGTCACAGTGAGTATTTACACGGTCGTCGTGAATAGGCGGACAATTATGCATTCAGTTTGTAATTCTTAATACATAAGACTCAGAACTCACAGACCCCTACGTTTTCAAGCACCCGTGATAGCCACCTCCACAAAGGTGAAAAGAAATTCAGGCAGCAAGGAAGAACGAAAGGGAATTAACCTCAGGCCCTACTCCGAAAAACGTTGGTGTCAGCTAAGGATGGCATACAGTACAACCAAAACAGTGGTAGAGAGAGAGCTAACCAAAGACGCACCTCCTGGTTCAGTAGGATAAGACCAAGCAGTGGCCTAGACATGCCCCACTGATTCTTGCATTCTTCATTCATAAAAGCTGCCAGAA